GGGGGCATGCCCCCCAGAACATTTTGAAATATTTAAGCCATTTTCCAGCAATCTGAGGCATACTGTGGGCCATATTCTCATGTCTGATAACACTATCTCAACCCTAGACTCAACCCTACAACCCTTGTCTAATTAGCAGACAAACTACGCGACACCTTGCAGACAGCGCCTGTCTGACTAGGCTGTTCCATTTACCATAGACATGCCAGATACAAAATGCCTGAAAAAAAACAATGTGTCCAAGTGAACAATGCGAACAATCAGTGCAAATTTTGTACAGTGCAACTGAAATGAGGAATATAACCTTCCCGCTGCAGAATGCGGAAATTAAGCCTAGAAATCGTAATGATTCTGCAGAATGAGGAATGGTTGGAGACCCTGCATTAGACATAATTACAAACCAAAAGTTCATCATCTCATCACCAAAAACTCCAAACATATCTGTGAATTTTTTTTTTTAGAAATTTGAATAAAATTTTAGCCTTTTTTTTAGGAATTGCATACATTTTTAAACGTTTTTTTTTGGAATTTTGGGGCGAGCTCAAAATTTTAGGAGTTTTTAGGAATTTTAGGGCCGCTGGAAAGCCTGTAAGTTTGGTAGCGCTAGGTCAATTAGGGGCCGAGTTAGAGAGCAGAAGGAAAAAAATAGGATCAAGGTCAAGGTAAAGGTCAAATAAAGGTCGCAGTGACCTGGTTTTGGTACGCTGCTCACCTATCGCAAAGCAATGCAAACATAGCAAACAACTAGCGAGGTTTGCCAGGGATTTCGGAAAGTTAAACACGACTTGGTGTTATTTATAGGCCATGTCGAATGACAGTAATTACATGTTATGAACGATATTGTTAAGAAAAAATAAAATGGATAAAAATACTAAACATGTGAGTTTTTATTTCTAATGTAAATAGTATAAATAACACCAAGTCGTGTTTAACTTTCCGAAATCCCTGGCAAACCTCGCTAATTGTTTGCTATGTTTGCATTGCTTTGCGATAGAGGGCTTTCAAAAGCATTGCCCTTATGTTTCGGTTCACAGTTGTTGACAATGCGGTATTAATTTCAAAAACCACATTGTACGTTTGGTCCGATATCTCCCGATTTGTCATTTTTGTGAGCCAACGATTAGACACGGAATTAGTTTAATGATTAAGGTAAGATTTGAGCTCAAGTTTATCGAGTTAAACACAATAAATCATAGGTAGACTAAGGCAACTAAATGTTGAATTTTGCTGGTTTCAGTCTGTCTTACTCCTATTGATAGACTCCTGATATGATGATAAACCATCAAATTGTTACTATATCATGCATGGTATACACTTCCCAATACGTATTGAAAAATATTGCAATACGGTTTTGTCGCATTGCAATATATTGCAATACAGTTTTTGGTCGCAATACTCACCCCCAGGGCTCGAATTAACCGACGGCACCGACGGCAATTGCCAACAATTACACATTAAGCAATAAGATCCACACAGGCTATTTAAACACATGAAAAAATGATTTAAATACATTTTTATTAGATATAATAATGAATAGCCTACATGGAAATTGGATAATTATGTATAAATTAGGTAGTTCTGTATATTATACTAAAACATTAGTGTCTCGAGGTTATGGCTGGTAGAAATTGAAGTGTAGTTTTTGGCTTGGTATAGCAGTTCGCAAGATACTAAAGAGAGACATTTTACTCGAAGCGCTTAATATTATGAATATTTACCCATATACTAAATATTGCATTTTAGCAATTTGCCGATTGATAGCTAGAACCCAGACAGTATGAGCATAAAATAAGAGGTTTAACTGAAGTTATTTAACTAAGAAGAGTTGGCAGAAGTAGACGGCATACTACATAAAACAAACACATTTTAGTTGTAATAGCACACAAATGTATTAAGCGGTACGTACTCTTTCGTCACACACCTGTAGAGTTCTTGGACCTTTAGTTGCACGGGTACAGAATTAAACTTCAGCAGTGCCAGAGCTCTTTCTAGCAGTTCCGTCTTTCTCCCAGTTTTGTTGCGTCCTGCAAATCCTAGGAGCACTTGAAGTTCTGAGACACGAAACATCATCACCATTTCCTAAAAGAAAGTGCATCACAGTCAGTGTACATGGTTTTCACACTATAAATCCATGGAGATGACAGAATACCTTGCAAATTTTGCTAAAATGACAGATAGTAACTCTAAAACATTGTAAATATGTGCGAGCATTTCACACATGAGATGTTTTTAGAGTCACAATTAGTAGTTGTGTATAATCAAATCACAGGAACCACTATTGCTTCGACTAACCCTATCACAACATTTCACCCATTTCCTTAGCTTTTAGGTGGTGTATCCCTGTTGGCACGAACACTGTGCACGAAATTAGCGCTATTTTGCCGGCGGCTGCCAGTTCAACCCCCCTAAACCGCCGGTTCAACCCCCCATATAATCAGTCCACTTGGCCTATTCAAAATTTTGCCTATCTTGCATTGTTAACAATATTTACCCATTTCCTGACTAGTTTTTACTTAGTGACTACTAAGAAGTAAATCATGTTCCAGCAATTCCTGTCAAACACGTAGAACTCCACTGATAGCAATGAAATACTGAAATACTACGAGTATGCCTAATGAACTCAAAGCTAATACTTTTATTAATAATGGAATAAATTGAACAAAATTAAGGGCATGTTCAAACTGTCTAAGGGCCTGTTCACATTTTGGTTGATTTCATGCCCTGCTAACACCCTAGTATACTGTATCACTTACTCATTTGATCGGTTCCTGGTCATTTGTATGTATAAAAAATACGAGGAACAAGTCATGACATTACTGCTAGGGCGGTAACAATACAGTGGGGTATTACACATAGGCCTACCTCTCGATTCGATCCGTATCTCATTATTACCCTCTCGATTCGATTCCTTAGATTAGCTTCCCAAAACATTGAAATGTTATATTATTTTGTATATTTTCATTATTTTGCAATAAAAACTCTTTTAACCAACTATTACATTCTTTCTTTTTTCAAATTTTATATTTAACAAAATCACTTTTAAGCAGATAATAAAACTAACAAGAAAGGGCAGTTGTCGCCAACTACATGTATCCCCCGTGTTCTCCCCAAGATGTGTAAGTATACGAAGTTTGGTCGCGCTAGGTCAATTAGGGGCCGAGTTATAGAGCGGAAATGAAATATGATGAAGGTCAAGGTCAAGGTCAATGTCAAATAAAGGTTGCAGTGACCTGGTTTCGGTACGCGACACACCTTCTCCCCAAGATGTGTAAGTATACCAAGTTTGGTAGCGCTAGGTCAATTAGGGGACGAGTTATAGAGCGAAAAGGAAATATGATCAAGGACAAGGTAAAGGTCAAATAAAGGTCGTAGTGACCTGGTTTTGGTAGCGCTAGGTCAATTAGGGGCCGAGTTATAGAGCGGAAGGGAAATATGATCAAGGTCAAGGTCAAGGTCAAGGTCAAATTATTTGACCTGCTTTCCAGGTTGCAGTGACCTGGTTTCGGTACGCGACACACCTTTTCCCCAAGATGTGTAAGTATAGCAAGTTTCGTAGCACTAGGTCAATTAGGGGCCGAGTTATACAGCGGAAGGGAAATATGATCAAGGTCAAGGTCAAGGTCAAGGTCAAATTATTTGACCTGCTTTCC